CTCTTTTGTGTTCCAGTGTCCATTATTATATTTGCCACTGTCCAATAAACTGAAAATCCATCATGCACGTACCCATATCATGCTTTCCCCCCAACGTAACGTTTTCCTACAAACTGACATTCTAACACTGTGTGTTAGTGGTATTGTGTGGGACCACTCAGTACTTTGGATGTGCACTAGAAAACTAGACAGTCCTCTAAAGTTAGTTGAAGTGCGCAAAGTGGACCCTGGAACACAACACCCCCCCCCCTCCCCCCCCCTCCCCGAGGGGTCACGGGATGATGTCATGGGGGTTGCGGGGCTTTGGGGACCCGACAATTAAGCTACCGAAGGACACGCCTTGGCACTGCTTCAAATGTTTTACTCTCAGCTTCAACTAGCGCGTTTTCTTAATCCGCTGCACAGCACATGCTTGTCAGAAAAGGCACAAAAGATACCCGGCAGCTGTCATGGTGTTCCCAATAGTTGACAATGAAGAGAACATCATTTTCGTCTGAGGCGTGTGTGTTGACACAATGGAATGTGGGCACTTGACTGATTGGAAACATCTTTGTTGAAGAGCACAAGTATGCGGCTGTTGTCGAACAGAGCTGTCGTTCTTCTAACCGTTGCCTTACTGTACCTGTACGAACTTGCATTTTCAGCCTTGTCAAAAATAGACAAAATGTTGGTCGCATCTTTATACAGGGCCAGACCTCAGGTTATTTTCCTTAATTTAACCCAAAAGGAACAACCATGGATATTGCCAGCTGCACCCATCACCTCTTGCAGTTTGCTGTGCAAGGAAAGGCTTTACTTAGTTTAATTTGTATTTTTATGGGCATCAGAGAGCACTAAAGGAATGAAAACTGGACTCATTTGTAAGTATAACTTATAAATGAACCCCAAGGGGTGGGGGTGTTCAGGTATTTTAAGTGTCCCAAGCCTGACAACTTTGCACACCCGTGCTCCACAGCATGACGAAGTCGCCAAAACAGTTTTGTTTTGCTACCTTTTTGAACTTTCCAGGACAAATGTTGCTCACCTGCTTTTTACTGAGAGCAAACTAGAGCAAAGTATAAAATTATTCTGGGGCATCAAAAGCCTAAAATTTGTATTGCAGTTACATCTGTGCGCTTTTCTCAATAAAGAGATGACCTGATTGAGTAATATGTTTGTAATACGTTATCTCATGCAAACCATGCAGGGTGTAGAGAAAGTTGCGAGTATTACCCCAAGAATGTCTCGTTGAATGAAGGGAAGAATTCGGAGTCTTGTTCCACATTGTCCTCTTCCTCCCCTTCTTCCTGGTCGTCGTCTCGTTCCTGGTCGTCTTCTCCTTCTAGGTCGTCCTCCTCTTCCAGATAGCCCTTTTCTTCCTGGTCGTCGTCCTTTTCATACTCCAAGTCTGAAGCATCAGATTCCACGGGACTGGCTGTGCCTGGCAGACGATGGGACGGGAACGTGATGAGAGAGGGCATACGTCCTGCCACAGCCGAAACTGAGGGAAGGGGCGGGCGAGGAGCAGGGAGGGGTGCTTCGGAGACAGAAGCAGCAGTGCCAGTAGACATAGACACAACTCCACACTGTGTGCACTTGCCAGTTGGCTGCCGCGTATCTGTCTGCACACCCACAGTTCTCATCGCCCAAACAGAGAAGCTCGCCTGCCTAACTGTTAATAAACAGACAAGTAAGAAAAATATGCTTGTTAGCGAGCGCGTTCGTAATGGTGTAAGTTTAGAGAGAGGGATATACGTAAAGACAGGGGACGAGACTGTGGTGTCATCCTGACAACGCGCCGACGGGCCGACTCCTCGCGAACTGTTATCACTGGTCACATGACCAGATTTATCTGTATATATTCACTGGTGTCTGATTAAACGAGAGGGTTCTTTGCTAACTCATGACGGCTTGTCTGACATGGTGTCAGAAGTGGGCGGATTCCGACCGGTTCCGACGGAATGCCGCTAACGACGAGTACGAGCCCCGAAGCAACGACCGAAGCAGCGTCGACCTCGCCACCACAGCAGCAGCCGGCGCCACGTCGACATGGCAGGACTCAAGCCTCCGAAGCCGTTCGACTTCCAAAACGCCGCTGACTGGCCTGCCTGGATAGACGAGTTCGACGACTACAGATTCGCATCGGGCCTGCACGAGAAACCTGAGGAAGTTTAAGTAAGAACTCTTCTTTATACGATGGGCCGGAAGTCGCGAGAAATTCTGCGTTCAGTAGGCGTAAAAGACGGAAGAATTAAAAAAGTTTGACCTGATAAAGTCAAGGTTAGACGGATACTTCGTTCACACCAATAACACGGTGTACGAGAGCGCCCGTTTCAACTAACGCCGACAGCAAATGGGAGAAACGGTAGACCAATTTGCGACCGAGCTACACAGGCTAGCAGAGCGCTGCGAGTTCAAGGACATGACAGTACGTCTTATCCGAGATCGATTCGTAGTCGGTCTTTTGGACTAAACTCTCTCAGAAGAGCTTCAAGTGGATCCAAAGCTGACTTTACACGTAGCTCTATCGAAAGCTCGGACAAGCGAAACAGTAAAAAAACAACAAGCCGAACTAGCAGGGCAAGAGTCCGCAAGCCCCGAAGCATGCGTTTCGGCCGTGAAACAGAAAAAAGACCGCTAGACAGAACGAAGCCTCAAGCAGTCAAAGGACTGCAAACAGCAAGAGGTGCAGTTACTGGGCTTGTCCTCTGCATCCCAGGACAAGTTGTTCCGCCCAACGAGAAAAATACCGGTTTTGTCAAAAGTTAGGACATTTCGAAAAAGCTAGCCGCATCGAAAAAACGCGACGGCAAGAAACTCGACGTCATTGCCGCACCCGATAGCGATCATTTCTTGGGCACGCTCGAACAGTCGAAGAACACGTTATCTGCGCTCTTCGTGACTGTGCAGATAAATGGTCAGGAACTTCGAAGGAAAGTTGATACGGGAGCGGAAGTGACTGTAGTCAGCGATAAGTTTCCAGGCGTTCCACGCTCTCTGGACGAAGCAGGAAATCTTCGAGGGCCGAGCGGTGCAAGAATTTGCACTGTTGGCAAATTCCACGCGAACGTCACCTGGAAAGATAACTGCTCACGACAGACTATCTACGTCGTCCGCAATCTGCGAACTCCCCTTCTTGGGTTCCCAGCGGTCAATGCCTTAGGTATCGTTCGATTCTTGGACGAAATAGAGAGCATCAAAGACGTCTCGGCACACGTTGACGCAATCATCCGGGGGCTGCTAGCATCCGACAGTCTGATAGACCGAATACGTATGGAGAAGAAGAATGACCAGTGATGCTCATTGCTGCTTCAAGCCTGCCGACAAGGGTGGCCAGACAAGCACAAGTTACCACCAGATCTTGGGCAGTACTGGGCACAGCGTGGCAACGTTACTGTTTGCAACGAGTTGCTCCTAAAGGACACCAGAATTGTCATTCCAAGAAGTCTACGTAGGGAAATGCTTCAAAGGCTACATGAAGGCCATCAAGGCATCGTTCGCTGCCGAGAAAAATCCAAAGAATCTGTTTGGTGGTCGGGTCTCAGCAAAGATATAACTAGAGTTGTGTCCGAATGCCGAGAATGCGCCACTGAACGCTTGCAATTCTCGGAACCGATGATCCCATCTGAAACACCAGAACTACCATGGGAGAAACTAGGAGTCGATTTATTTGAACTAAAAGGAGCGGTGTACGTTGTTGTTGTTGACTTTCCCTCCAGGTACACAGAAATGGCGTTGTTGGACAGAGGCACGTCATCTGTGGCCTTAATTCAACACCTGAAAAGTATCTTCGCCCGACACGGGATTCCGAGGACCGTGGTTTCGGGCAACGGGCCCCAGTTTGCATCGGGTTTGTTTCAAGACTTTGCGAAAACGTACGGGTTCAAGCACGTGACAACCAGCCCTCGCTACCCGCAAGCAAACGGTGAGGTTGAACGTATGGTAAGGACTCTAAAACTGCTCTTCAAGAAAGCAGAAGACCCTTACCTTGCGCTGCTGAACTACAGGAACACACCTGGGCCTACAGGTTTTAATCCAGCACAACTTCTTATGAGCCGACGACTTCGCTCAACAGTGCCTTGCGCTCCATCTTTACTCAAACCTCGCACGGTAAACTCTTTTTGGAAGAAGAGAGATGAGGAGTATAGGCGGAAACAAATAAAGTATTTTGACAAGCGTCACGCGGCCAGACCTTTGCGCAGCCTTTCTGCAGGGAACCAAGTGTGGCAGAGACAGAGGTGCTACGGGTACCATCCTTCGCCCCGGGGACACACCAAGGTCCTACTGGGTCAGGACAAAGGACGGCACCTTCCGTAGGAACCGCCATCACCTGTTTCTGCTGCCGGACAACGATCCTGCTGCAGAGCCTGAGTGTCAACAACCTGCCGAGCCCGCGGACAAGACCACCAATTATGCAAGCAAGTCTGGGGAGACCACACCACCAAGCGAGCCTTGCACGTCCGATCATCCGTCGACCAGCACTCAACAGACTGCCCCAGCGGGTGAAACCGCGTCACACGGTGTAACCACGCAATCTGGGCGTGTTGTAAAGATTCCTAAGAGACTTGGAATTAATGACAAGTTTGTTTCCGACAAAGACCGATTTGTTATATTTTCCTACCTGAAGAAAAGGGGAAGATGTGGTGTCATCCTGACAACGCGCCGACGCGCTTATTCCTCGCGAACTGTTATCACTGGTCACATGACCCGAATCATCTGTATATATTCACCGGTGTCTGAATAAACAAGAGGGTTCTTTGCTCACCCACGATGGCTTGTCTGACAGAGACAACACATCTTTGTGTTGTCCCGTCCCGTCTTTACGTATATAACTCTTTCTAAACTTACAATAAAATCGTTGTCCTATATGCTAAAGCCCTTCTGTTTTGTTTATATTCATTTCAGTTTGATTTTTTCGAGGTGGAACTGATATTACAGTTCAGAGTTGAGAGTAGCTATATTTTAAAGCAATCTACGTTCAGGCACCATATTCGAGAACGAATTACGGATGCAAGGAATGTCTAGTGCATCCACCTTAAAGGAAATCGTTGCACGAGACTATAAATGACAACCTTACACTGTGCTTGGACGTCTCCCCCGTCAGTCTGGCAGAGAGCTGTGACGGCGTTTCTGGTCGTTTGTGTCCAGCCGTCTACTGTTCGACATGGAATCGGTCCTTCTTCGACGATCATGTCAACGACGTTCAGTGAGCCGTTGTGATCCTAGAAAGAAATAATTAACCAAGAAATTACTTAGAAAGTTAGAACGAATTTCGACAGTTCACGTCACACGAACGTACCTCAGACGTTCGTTTTCTTGGCGGTGCGTCGAACCAGAGATGTTGCGTGGGCACGGCATCTGGCTTGAGACGCGCCCGTTTCGTGTCCAGGCCAAGGCTTCGCCGCACTTCGATGTTCATATCGTATTCCCCAGTTAAAAAGTGATGAGAACACAGGTAGCCCTTGCACCTACCGATGTCGTCCGGGCCATCGCGGTCAATGGCTCGAAGCCAGGCCGATCTTCGCTGGGGGTCGTACGGTAACTTATGGAACCGAATGTCGTTCGCTTTACCATACCTCGTGCTGCACTCTCTCACAAAAGAGACGGTCGGCATGGCGAGTGCTGAAGCGCGCACACAACAGACGCTAACGACGCCAAGCACACAGAACAACCTAAACTTGCCACGCACAGAAAATACGCAGCGGCGAGCACACGACGAGGCGACAGGAGCGGGGACGCGGGGAGCCGACGTTGCTATTGTTTCCGGACGACGGAAGTCTCGAATGTGTTTGAAAACGAAATTTACCTGCAATCACGTGATATAGTACTTCCGAATTAGTTTTAGAACGACAGTAACTTCCTCACTATTTTCATAACTTACTTTTTATTATTGCAACACAATATAAAATACAGGAGATCGTCAACTTTACACAGGTCTTGTTGTGACGTTTTGTTGCTCAAGCTGGGCAACGGTGTCGCATAGTCGTTCAAGGCACCTCAAGAAACACTATGTTCAAACACTGTTTATAAAATGTGGACGTAATATTTCGCCGTGATATTTGGGATATGGGATCTTTGAGGTCTCATAAATTTTATAAAATTAAGACTGTTCAGATGTATTTTCTTTGCACGACCCCTTTAACAATATGGATGCTGCCGTAACGTATCAATTGAATTGTATTTCATCGTGTGCGGGCTTCGTAAGGAGATATGTCGATGACATTTTCATCTGCTCATTTCGCAAAGAGGATATACTCGAGTTGGAACGGACAGTGAGGGGAGCGGCGCCGGAATTTAAGTTTACCTTAGAAAAGGCGGACAATTGTATTTTACAATTTCTGAACTTTCGCATTCACGTGGAGGCGGGTTTATGTGGGGGAGTACAAAAAAATGGCCGCAAAACCCGTTATGAATAGGAAAAGTTGTCATGCTAAAGCAGTAAAAGCAGGTGTAGTCAGATCTCCAATCAGCAACGCACTGGATAAGTCGTGTGCCCATTTTATGGGTTGCGCGGTAGAAAGGCAGTGGTCAAGGTTAGAAGATGCAGGCCACGACTGTGTGTTCATAAAAAGACAATTGGAATTGCAGGAAAAAGTTAAGCAACGACCAGAAAAGGAAGCGAAAGGGCATTATGCGGTTATTCCGTATTTTCACGCGATTCCTCATAACCTTAAAGAATGTGCAAAAATATTTGGGGTAGATGTAGCGGTTAAGTCCGACTTTAAGTTGAACCGTTTGACACCGTTTCAGACGAGTCAGAAAGTGTGTCAGAAAGCGCACCGTGATAAGTCAGTTGATTGCAAGGAAGGGGTATGGTCTATGAAATACCACTGGAATGCGGTTTACGTATGTGAGACAAACGGCAAGGTGTGTAAATGATAGATTGGTTGAGCACAAAAGAAATGTAAAAATAAACGGACCCTATGCAGCGATTGCTAAACACATTAGTGAGTGTAACGATTGTATGGCGCATTGGTCGGATACTGAAATTTTGCACAGAGAACGCAACGACACTAAGAGGCTCATAAGAGAGACAGTTCGCATCAAATCCATCGGTAATTGTATCAGATATGCTTCGATGCAACTCGGAAGTAGTTCCAAGAAGTTTCTTAAGATCTCTTTTTTTTTTTTTAATAGTTGTAAGTGAACGTGGAATTAGTCATTTTGGGGGCAGGAGTTCAGTTGGAAGTCATTTCAGTTCTTGTTTAGACAAAGCACAGCCTTTCCAGACTCCGTCTAGAAAGGAAGTGGGTCCGTGTGTTTTTTTGTTTTTTTTCAAGGTCCTAACTTTTCAGTTGGGGACTGAGGTCACCCTTTACGGTTGAGATGAAGACCAGTGTGGGTAGGATTGTATATATAACAAAGGTTCACCTTCTGACGTCGGTGGTCGGTGGTTAGGTTGTGGGTATATAAGACATTGAGGAAATAAACGCAGTAGCTGAGTTTGAGACGTTTTTTTCCCCTGTCTTTCTTCTTCGACAATGTTTTTACCACAGTCTCGGATTTTCTACATCATGATCAGCATCCACCAGCTCGCCTGCGCGCTCACACTTTTTCATTGTACTTATACACTTCACATGTAATTTATCACAGACTGTAATGATATTTGGGTATTCTTCAGGAGACTGTCAAGAATTTAGGCATGTCAAGTTTGAGAACTCAACCGCAGCCACTTTTAAATATTAATGACAAGCGAAGCTGCTGTAAAGTAGCTCAATATTTATTTGACTGTTTGAGTACTACATCTTACAACTTTCGTTGCGACCATTATTTCACTCATACGCGAGACCACGGATGGTCCATGATCCCACCTTTAAAATCCCACCAAACTGTGGCTGTAAAAAAAAAAGTAAAAAAAAATAAAAACTTTAGTTGGAGGGAGAGTGCAATGGTGTCTCGTTGCAATGTTTATTTTTTTTACTTTACACACGCTTACTGGCACTAATTGGAAAGCAAAGCCTTGAGTACTTCCGGCACGGAGTCTGAGACCGCCAGAATGTATTGGAAGCGGATTCGACAAAATTGAACCAAATAGAAGAAACGCGACGTAGTTTCGACCTCAATATTTCCGTTAGATGCTTCCCAATATGAAGAACTTCAAGCACTGCGCGTGCTTCCATCAGATTATAAATAAAACACCTATGCACTGAATAATTTTTGTACTATTCCAAAATAGAACAAGAAAAAAAAAAAAAGTCGACCACGAGAGGGTTCACTTTATTGTGAATTAAATCAAAGCAGCTTGATTTTATTTTTTAATGATATTGTTATTCTTGTTTCAGATTACACGCAAGAGGTACAGCTAGCAGCGATATCAACTGGTACAGGGCTATACAAGCTATTTGAGTAAAAATGCCACTACGGCAGCCTCTGGCGCATGACAAAGTTAAAAAGAATTTAGGAACAAACGACTGCTTTCGCTTTTAATGCAGAAACTTGAATCAAGACAAATAGAAACGCAATCACTCAAGTGATTAGCGGTACTTAAAAACCACTTACCAGGAGTCTCATTTTTCTATGCAAAAATGAAAGACGTTTGCATATCTCTATAATGCGAAATTAGAGCGAAGCTCTTGAGGGGGCGAAGGAAAGGGTATGCCTCTCCTCCTCCTCCTCCTCCCCTGATCTTGTTGCTCCCCCTTTTCCGTACCCTCCCATCCTTCTCCTCCGTACCCTCCCCTCCTCCTGCTCCATACCCTCCCGTCCTCCCACAGTTTCCCCCGTAAATTTCGATTAAAAATTGACACCACGTGACCTCAACACCAATTCAGTTTCCCCGCTAAATTTATCGGGGAAAATGTCGTCACATGACTTCGTGTCACGTCCCCTATGCACAAATTCAGTTTCTCTGCTACATTTAGCGGGAAAATTGATGTAACGTGACCTCAACACAAATTCAATTCCCCGCTAAATGTAGCGGGGAATTTGAATTGTTGTTTATGTTACATGACGTCCCTTTCCCCGCAAACGTTAGCGCGGTTGCGTTGACCGTGACCGCGAAAACAGGCGCCTAAGAGTTCCGGTGTAAAAAATCCTCATGCGAGTTGTCATTGCTCTTTCTCGAACATCGTCTGTGATGGAACCGTAGCGACGACTCCCAAGTTTTTTTCCGCATAAGTTGAAGACGTCCAAGGCTTTACACAAGTTAACTCGTTTCTGTAGCATCGCGATGTTCTGAAGATTTTGGCTCAAAACAGACCAGAGGTTCTTCCACAACCTTAACCGAGTCGTCATGAAGTCAAGGGTGAATGGCCACGATCAGCTCCTCCTGAACTATGCAACTAAATATATCACTCATGAGCGATTGAACAGACGCGATCAAGCCACGAAAGACAAGGTTGGCTCACGTGTTCTAGCAGAAGCATAGGTGCGGCATTCCCTTCTCTAACCAATGCTTGATGAAATTAATCGCTCTCAAGCTAGCGTCTGGCATCCAGACGTTTCCCATTTATGGCTTATCGCCCGACCACCAAGGCGGAGCAGTGCGAACAGTGCCAAACAGGTCAATCCAAGGGGACGGTTCTACACCCACTTCTTCTCGAAGTGGAGAATGACGGGCGCTTCTTGGCGTTAGACTCGATAGTATGCTGGGAATACATGCGTGGTCACGCACACACCGACATCCGGCGGCTCCCCGGAGAACGTTTTCCCGCTCGACTCCATCACCTCCGGTAGCTTCGGGTTACTTTACCCGGCACAGATGCAGCGTCCTCAGCAGACCTCGCCGCACGCTTAGACCAGCTCCGCGAAATATCCATTGTATAACGTTGGATAATATCCTATAGCAATCAAACCATCCACAGCGGACACTCCTCTCTCGCCAGGCTGCCGCGTTGCCTCGCGGTTGCACCACTTCACGCCACCGCCAGGTAACCCTCGCCACGAGGGTACAAAAGAATGCGGCGCAGGACGACACAGGGAGAAGAGACGGAAACGAGGCGACTTGGGACCAGCGGCCTGGAATGCAGACGCCGACACTGCGTCTTCATCATTATTCTGAATTCGGCCACATCTTAGCTAATAAAACGTTAGTGTTCTTACCCACCGTTCCAGGCGAGTTTAACTTCCGAGTCAGGCTGGAACAATCTAAGACGCTACCCATGCATTGCACGTGACGTCATATGGCACCGTACCAGCCGCCATTGCTGTGTACCAAGCTCCTGTGCCCGTAACCTCTGCAGCATACACTTCGCATCATAAAACTTGTTCTCTGGCCAACGCTTGCCGGGAAGAAGAAATTGGATGGTGCCAAATGTGTGATGCAAAAAATACGCGCTATTGAAGAAAAAAAAAAGTTCGAAATTTAATTGGGTGGCAGACCGACCGACCCTTTTGAATCAAGTGGGTGGCAAACTTGTTGACCCGTGGGATCAAACGTGATTATGGAATACGGCTATCCGTATCCCATAATCAAGCCGGTGCCCATTTGACGCGGCACTCGTATGATACGGGCGCATGTTTGATACGGGAGCCCGATCTACCCGGCAGGTGCGCGCACATTTGAGCGTGTTCTTCGAATATTCAGGCGAATTTTTCGTGAGCGTTAAAGTTTTACCTTCTGGGAGGTTGGATATTTCAAACTAGTTTAAGATGTTCCAGACTGGATTAATCTGT